TGTGATTTTAAATTAGATTGTCATCAATGTGTGTGGTTGTTAGATTGTCATCCATTTTTGTGATTTTAAATTTGATTCTCATCAATATGTGTGATTTTAAATTTGATTGTCATCAGTGTGTGTGTGTGATGGTAAGCTAGTTTGGCATCAACTTGTGTGATTTTAAATTAGATTGGCATCAACTTTGTGATTTTAAATTAGATTGGCATCAATCTTTGAGATTGCAAGTCGTCTGTCCTTCGTCCCTCTCACTGCAGCTGACTAATGAAACGCCTGCTGGGATGACACACTGTAGAAGCAGGAGCAAACGCTATTGTTGGCTTCAGTATAACAACTCATGGCTGGCATGTGGACTTGACATCTCATTTCTATAATACAACAATGGCATGAAAGACTGCAAATCTTTGCTTTTCGAGTTCGCCTAGCCTTAAAGAACAGCTTCCACGCTTGACCTTTTCTCACACTCTTTTCACCCTCTAGGTACTTTCATTAATCAGTGGGATTGCCCTAAAACAAAACTTTCCCCATTGAGAGCTCGTTGACAAAATGTGTTGTGGTTCACGCAACTACTACGTACGGCAATTCTCCCATTAAAAAAAAAAAGTTTACAGTGATCTGGTAGTTTTTGACTCGGCTGCAGTGCTGACCAAGCTTTAAAGACTCCACCTGCCACCTTCTTTTTTGATTCGTATGGCTGAAGGCCACACTAGAAAGCTTAGAGTTTACAATTATTCGTTGAAATTTATTAACTAAATTTCTTAGGCTTTTGCCCAACATACAAGAACATTGAGGTGTTCATGACGGCAGTGAACACGATCACCAAGCCTTGGCACACTAGAGCATGCAGGCCCAGGGCAAGATGTCCGAATTTCAAGGTTCTGTACAGCATGTGCTAACAATCAAGCCCTGCCACTGATCAGAATGTATTTAAACTACAGTTTATTTATGACACATAGTTGGGTAGATTGCTAACGTTGCATGCGCTAGTTATAGCAGCTAGATTGAATGTATGTCTGGTTCAGGGGTCTCAAACTCGCGGCCCGAAAGGCGATATTTTGCGGCCCGATACCTGACAGCAAAGTTCAGTGTTAATGCGACCCCGCTCAGTTGTAAAAGAAGAAGCACTGTCAGGTATCTGGCAAACAAGGAGTTGGAGAAAGTAAGTGAAGCCTAGTTCTCGAGAACCCTTGGTGTTTTTATTGGTTATTAATAAAGGTTGAGCAGATTGTAACACTTGTTCTTTATTGCATTGCAATCACTTTTCTGTGGAATACTCGATGCGGCCCAGTCTCACACAGACTCTACCTCCTGAGACCCCTGGTCTGGCAGTATGGGTCTCACTCTGCATGTCACATATGGGTTTGTGTGTCTAGCCGTTAACAAAATCCCCAACACTTGTAATTGTGAGGAGCCTTATGATACATGAAAGTATGCTGAAATCTATTTGAGCATCTATTCCTAGCACTGTTATCTATTTGAACATCTATCACTAGCACTGTCAACCATTTGAACACCTGTCCCTAGCACTGTTAAATATTTGAACATCTATCCCTAGCACTGTTTTATCTATTAACATCTATCCCTAGCACTGTTATCTATTACCATCTATCCCTAGCACTGTTATTATCTATGAACATCTATCCCTAGCACCAGAGGGCAACTCCACTCTGTTTCTGGATTGTTGTGGGCTGGTTCGCCGAGTGATCCGGGACCTTGAACCTGACCTTGGCTTCCGCCTGGGACCGTGGAATCAAGCTTACATGTACGACACGCTACCGAGAACTGTGTCCAAGGAAGAGATGAAACCAGGGGACTTGGTCTTCATGAGAGGACACTACAACAATCCCAAATGTAAAGTCAGAGTTATTGGTGGATTGGGGACACGCTGGCTTAGGATTTTACCTACTTTATCGAGACACACTATATGATTTAACTGGTTTATTGGGACACACTATATGATTTAACTGGTTTATTGGGACACACTATATGATTTAACTGGTTTATTGGGACACACTATATGATTTTAACTGGTTTATCGGGACACACTATATGATTTAACTGGTTTATCGGGACACACTATATGATTTTAACTGGTTTATTGGGACACACTATATGATTTAACTGGTTTATTGGGACACACTATATGATTTTAACTGGTTTATCGGGACACACTATATGATTTTAACTGGTTTATCGGGACACACTATATGATTTAACTGGTTTATTGGGACACACTATATGATTTTAACTGGTTTATTGGGACACACTATATGATTTAACTGGTTTATTGGGACACACTTTATAAATAGAACTGGTTTATTGGGACACACAATATGATTTTAAGTAGTTTATTGGGACAACTGGCTTATTATTTTAACTAATTTATTTTGATTTTATCTAGTTTATTGGGACATAAGAGTTCTATCATTTTCTTTATTTGCTAAATGTTTTTAACTCCTTCATTTGGGACATATGAGCTCTGTTATTTGAACGCGTTCATATGAATTTAACAGGTTGATTTGGGAAACATGGGCTCAATGTTCCATTTAATTCAACGTCTCCCCCCCCCCCTTCCCTCTTTTATTCAACTTAATGACATGTCCAAACCAATTGACACCAACTAAAATGTTGTCTCCAGGATGGAAATTTTATTAATTATCTCACTAAAGATGAATGACTTCATGCAAGAGCAACTGTTTTGATGTATGTTACCGCCATTGTATGCATGGCCAGCTCATGGTGCATTCCTGTCCTATGCATCTTTCAACAGTCATTGACGTGAACTGTCGCCATCTCATCTACAGACGATTCATGCTAATGTTCATTTTTGCCGGCCACATTTATTCCTTTAGTTTTGTATAAGTAAAAAAGTGTTTGAAGGTGGACATGTTGGCATGTGGGGACAAAACCATCTTGGCATGTGGGGACAAAGCCATCTTGGCATGTGGGGACAAAGCCATCTTGGCATGTGGGGACAAAGCCATCTTGGCATGTGGGGACAAAACCATCTTAGCATGTGGGGACAAAACCATCTTGGCATGTGGGGACAAAACCATCCTGGCATGTGGGGACAAAAACCATCTTGGCATGTGGGGACAAAACCATCTTGGCATGTGGGGACGAAACCATCTTGGCATGTGGGGACAAAACCATCTTGGAATGTGGGGACAAAACCATCTTGGCATGTGGGGACAAAACCATCTTGCCATGTGGGGACAAAACCATCTTGCCATGTGGGGACGAAACCATCTTGGAATGTGGGGACAAAACCATCTTGGCATGTGTGGACAAAACCATCTTGGCATGTGGGGACGAAACCATCTTGGCATGTGGGGACGAAACCATCTTGGCATGTGGGGACAAAACCATCTTGCATGTGGGGACAAAACCATCTTGGCATGTGGGGACAAAACCATCTTGGCTGTGGGGACGAAACCAACTTGGCATGTGGGGATGAAACCATCTTGGCATGTGGGGACAAAACCATCTTGGCATGTGGGGACAAAAACATCTTGGCATGAAGCCTCCTCAATAATTCATAATGTCATTGACAGAAAATTTGACTTAATAATTCACAACTTGCTTGTTGGGTGCCTCTGATGTCTTCTATAGTCTTGACAAAATAATTGTTTCCTACTCCACGTGCCTTATTCTCAAACACCACTCTTGACAAACTCCTTCAACGCTCCGACCTCCTCCCCCCATACACAAATAAAACCACCCTCTCACATACCCACTCATTTAGCTCCCTCTTCTCCTCAATCTGACTTCTCTACTCCAACCTACACTTTCTCTCATTTAACATCCATCTTAATCATCTGACCTCTTCTCCCACCTCCACTTTTTCCCCTCTTACCACTCCCCCTCTCTCTCTCCTCTTACCACCCCTCTCTCCTCTAACCTCCACCCTCTCTCTAGCCTCCAACCTCTCTAACCCCCATCTCTCCCCTTTAACCTCCACACACTCTCCTCTAAGCCCCCCCCCCCCCCCCCCCCCCCCCCCCCCCCCCCCCTCCCTCCC